TAATAGCAATAATAATATCAATCTCTGTTTCCTTAGATTGCTGAGGTCTTTTTTGTTTCTTAAGTTGGCAAAATAAAATTTTACTAAAACACCTTTTGTTACAAAACAGCATCTCATAATCACAAAATAGTTTAGGAAGAATTAGCCTATGTATGAACTCATTAGATGTGCTTGCCTAAGCTTTCCACTTTCAAACTGCTGTTCCTTCCAAAGTGAGCGGCAGTCGTCAATTTAAAAATCATAAAACAGCGAGATGACAGGGACTGTAGCCAAATGCCATAAGGCGTGTGCGTCTATAAGCCACAAAATTGGTGGAAAGTCCAATAGCTCTAAACTCATAGACATGCCGAATAAAATATAGAATCGGATAATTTTACGGTAATATGCACGCCGATGTCGTTCCAAATAACACCAAACAAACCATCCCAGTGCGGAGATTATACCAGTAACAATATTTGTCGTCATATTTAAAGAGTAACTAAATTTGCCTAAGCTCAGGTACGCAAAGTAATTTACAAAGAACGAGACAAATATCAATGAAATTAAGCCTCGTAATATGAGCGACTGCCGGTATATCATCCGCATAACCATAGAATAAAGTGACACGAGTACAATACTGTAAGCGAAAGCGTAATCCATTAACTCTGTCACAGGAAAATCTCTTGTGTGAAAACTGTCGACCAGATCCAACCATTAATACATACAAATGAGAAAATATGCCACAACTTATAGCATGGACTATCCGGACGCACCTCAGTACGAAAGCGTCGTAGCATGCGAATGTGAACAACCAAATTACAAATAGAAAACAACACCGAGGCTGGTTCTTGAGTACCAAGAAAACGGAGGAATGGCCACTTTCCATAAAACTGTGGTACGTCCCAACCGCGTTCTGCAAACGTATCCACTGTGCGCCACATACAACCATATTGGCATTCATCCGCACAGTTCCAAGCAAACGCTTTGTCGAATATCAACTGTTGATAATATTTAACGGCCTGCTTCTGAATCTCTACGCCATCTGCACTACAATTTTGCCGTTCGCAGTTTTGTCTACAATTGTGAAAGAATTGTGTACGATCTCCAATAGAGCCGTGGCAACCTAATACTAAGAACGCAAGTACTAAAAAATATATAAGGTAACACTGAACTAGACATGATAATAATTATTTTAACTATTTTCCAAAAAACTAAGCTCGTACCACTTTGTTTTAAGCATTATTCCACTCTTTTCCCAAATCTTTTTTGTATCTTTGTATAAATTATTTCATAGCAAATAGATTCCACATGAGTTTTCCTCAACGTGTGCAACTTGTTGTGCTCTATTAATGAGTATAATAATCGCATTGCCATCAAATGTTTTGGAGATGCTGCTAATTGAGATTCACTCATTGGTGCGCACAGTGAAAAGTAATCCAAATAACGTACATCTGCTGACGCTAACCAAACTAGCTTTAAATT